GTTTTTACTTTTTTGAAAAACAAACTCTAAATGTATATTTAGCCATACACTCATGTTCCGTTAAGAACCTGGCAGCCACAGTTCAAAATAACTTAAAAGAGCTACCGAGCATGTAAAAATTATGTCAATAACCAATCAAGGAGATAATACGTTATGAATGTGACATAACAGTGATAATACAACTGATTAGAAAAAAAAACAAAGAGGCATCAAAGACTTTGGTCTTAAGTAACAAGACATTGATACAGTAATTCAAACGTCACAACATTGTGGTTGCATCAATTCGTACACATCTTTAATTAATATAAATCATGTTTGAAACTCGAGCAGCACTTTTGTGGAACAACGTATTAGGGTTTAAAACAGAGCTGCTCACTGAACCATCATTGACACATGACAGCTCAGGGCAGTTCCTTCAAATTGTACTTTTGCAGTCCCTGATTTTCCGAAGAATTCTGTACATTTACAAATAGGACAGCAAGTAATATCAGTGAGTGATGAAATAACTAGCATCATGAGGAAATTATGAATAAAATGTTGAATTTATCTGAATAACTGGTGTACTGTGCTCGAGATACAAGTCAGAAACGTGTTATTCTTGTTGACAGAAACTGTTATCGACAAATATAGACGAGAGAACGAAGAAATGCTGACATTGTATACTGAACGCCTAACCTCACAAACTTGTCAACCGGTAAAGATATATCCTACCAAATAGTCTGATGTCAATCTTACCTCGTTTTCGGTGGTAGACAATAAAATTTCTTAACGCAAGACCACTTAGATGCAACTCTATGACAACCCAATGTTGCTGAGTAACTGGGGAAATTCACACAATCTTCCTCAAACAGACAGCTCATCTACTTTCACCACAGTTAAGCAGAGAAGGGGGCGGGCAGGGGGAGGGGAAGCTTGCAAGTCTCACAAACCTACAATTTTTCTTGCAATAGGTGATAGGGATTTTGGTACAAAAATGTGAATGATTCATGTTTTCCTATAAAAGTAAAAATATGTTTAATTCAGAAACAGTAAAAAACCGGTCACACACAAGATGTCTCGATGAAAGATTGAGTAAAGTTACTGTTACAGGTTGTCATTCTTCCGAGAAGAAACGTGGCGCGATTTTTGGAGAGGGCCGCGCGTCGCGTTGCGTCCTAGTTTCCGAGGCAGCCGCCAGATGGCACGAAAAGGTGAGCGCGGAATTCGAGTGAGTTGGGCTTTGGGGCGAGGAGTATACCTACCGCTCACCGATCGGAGAGCGCTCGGTACACGCTGGCTCGAAGGGGATTGGGCTGCAGACTCCTCGCCCTCGACTTTAATCCCAGTCTCGCGGGACTTAACTCAATTGCTTTTTTACCGAGCAGATGGGACGTGACTCCCGTAATCAAGTCCATCATCGATAGCAATTGGTGCATTTAAACGAACGCGGAGTGGGTTCTGCCTGCGAGGTCTTCGGTTACGAACCAAATCCAGCGGGTTGTATGCCTCCTTCCCCCCCCACACACACACAAAAGCACGGACACCAATAAGTCGAATTTCTGGGAGTCTTCAACTTCTTATCAATATCAAAAATTTTCACGTATTCAGCGGAAATTTTGACGAAACCAAGTTGGTACGACGCCATATCGTAACGTGTTCGCGGCAGTACTTGGGGTCTTCACCGCGCTGGTCGCGAGCGCATGACGCTGCGGATCCACCGGACGTGGCCGGCCACCCGGGCGTAGATCCCAAAGCGGTGCTTGGCGCCGCAGCCGTCGCCGAAGGAGGTGACGGCGTGCACCTGCCAGCGGCCGGCGGGGCCGGCGGGGCCCGAGGAGGGCTCGCGGCACAGCAGGGGGCCGCCGCTGTCGCCCGCGCACGCGTCGCGCCAGTCGCCCGCGCACACCATGCTGCGCGTGAGCGTGAGCGGCACGTGGCGGTAGGCGGCGCGGCAGCGCGCCTGGCTCACCACGGGCACCTGCAACAAGAGGGAGAGGAGAGGTCGGCGCTGAGGTGGTGGTGCGCCATGCCCGCCATGCCACTGCTGCTGCTGTCATTGTTGTTTTAACGAATCCCCCGCGCACGTCGAACGTCAAAGGGATAATGCGCGAACCGTGTTGTGTAACGACGGCCCACTCCGATTAAAACCACAAGTGGGTCAGCGATGGGTTATCGTAGGCAGGCGCTGCTGGGATACGGAAACTGGGTAGAGAGAAGGGAATATCTAGAAGCGGTAAACATGAGACCTCACCGCGCGCAAACCCAATACGGACCCCCGCCCCCCGCCCCTCCGGCCCCTCCCGTGCTCACACTGCACACCACCACGTGACGCACTTACAGCGTGACGCGCGGGCACGAGCGGATCGGATAGCCGTGGGAAGACATTCTTATTAGTACACGCATCCCCCACATTTCAGTCTGAAACCTTGGGCCCCTGCGCCCGCTTGTTAGGTCTACTATGTATACGCTCAGCGAGCATCATCGTTCCCACGCCCCCCCCCCCCTCTTGCCCCTCTTTCCCCTCCCCGCACACTCTCACCGGGGGAATGATAGTGTGAGCGGGCAGGGGCGGTCCTTATATGGATTTGTAGGTTAGTGTCGCTAACGCCCGCCAGCGGCCCGCCCGGGCCGTAGTTACACCGACGGCGCGTTCAGGCCTGCGAGAACTCCCCCCCTCCCCCTAACAATTTGCGGCGGTAGACACTCGCCTTTAAGACTTGCAGGGCCAACGGAATGGAGGCGAAAGACGAACGCTCATGCAGGGCGTAATTGATCGCTGAATCTGCGCCCCCCCCCCCCCATCTCCCCGACACGACACACACAGTGCCCTGCGGCAAGGGCTCCAGCAGGACGACCTTTGATTATGGTTATTGGGGCGAGATTGGCGGCGCTGCGCTGCTCCGACGCGATATGTATTTAATTTGAACGGATCGGGCGCGATCCGATAACAAGCTCTTTGACCGAAGCGACTAGACCAACCTGAGTACGCATCGCCGACCGAGACCGAGAGCAGGGCGGGCGTCGAGAGAGCAGGACACTCGAACAGAGTCGCGAAAAGGACGTGACGCGGCCGCGGCTTCGACGTTATCTCAGACGAGGAGAATAATATCGAGAGAGCGCCCGCCGCGAGGTGGCCCGCCGGGGGAATGAGATATGAGTGCTTCCCATTTCTCTGGCGTAAAGTGAAAAGGGCGTAAGTCCAATGGAAAGTCCGAGAACTTACGTCCTTTTCAATTTTCACCAGTGATTTTCTCTATGGGGACCTTTAACTGCTTTAACACCGAAGCGGACGTTAGTGTTGCGGGATCGCATACACCATGGCGCCTTACGAGTGAAGGGAGTAGGCAGACCCGCAACACTGAAGTGTCTGCTCTTAAACACATGGTAAATGTAATAATTGTAGCACCCAGAATCGATGTGCAAAATCTCGCCCCTTAGTAGTAGTGAAGGTCTGCAGCTACGTGTAATCGGAGGCGCAGCTGAAGCTTGACGTATTACCTCGGCCTGCTGCAGCTGCTGCGCGCCGAGGAGGGCGCCGTGCCTGCGCTTACCCCAGCCCAGGATGGTGCAGGGCGTGCCGGGGGGCAGGGGTTGTCGCGGGCGCGGCAGGCACGCGGGCACGGCGGGGTAGGGCGCGGGCCAGCGCCACAGCCGGAGCAGGGCCACGTCGTTGTCCACGGTGTCGGCGTCGTAGCGCGGGTGCGCCACCTGCTCCGCCACCTTCACGTCGAACTCGCCGCCCTCGCGGCGCGACAGGTCGTGCTCGCCGACGCGCACGTAGAGGCGGCGGCGCAGGCAGTGTGCGGCCGTCAGCACCCAGCGCGCCGAGACCAGGGTGCCGCCGCAGAACGCCACCTGCGGAGAGAGCGGAGGGCGGGTTAGCAGCGACCCGTGACGACCGGCACCAGCTCGACGACGTGGACGTCACCCAGGGCGCTCGCCTTGAACCTGTTGAGCACGGCGACCTGCCAGGGCCACGCCCCGCGCGGGGCCGTGGTGCCGCCGACGATGCGCAGCATGTTGGTGTGCAGGAAGGACGCGTTGTGCACGCCGCAGCCCTCCGCGCCCGGCTCCTCCCCCTCCGCGGCCTCCGCGTCGTGCGGCAGCAGCGAGTTGCTGCTCGGCTCATCTGCAACTGAAAACACACAGGCTCGTAAAAGGGCTAAGAAAAACTCGAGACACGGGGATAAACTATGAGTCGAAAAGTTGGTATCATCGAATCCCCGGTCAAACAACAAGGTTCATTGGTAAACATGAGACAAGCAGCGTCCCTCCGAAGGGTTCAAATTATTCAACGCGTCACTTTCAATAATACCTTGTGATTTTTTGAGCACGTCGTACAGCGCGGGCGGCGGCGGCTGCTGCTGCTCGGGCTGCTGTAGGAACTCCTGCTGCTGGAGGGCCTTCTTCTGCAGCCAGCCGTGGCAGAAGCCGCCGTGCACGTAGCAGTAGGCCTGGTCCTTGAGCACCTCCCGGCCGCACAGGGGTTCGTGCGCGCACGTCCGGTAGCGGCGGGCGGTGCAGGAGCGGCTGCAGTGGCTCCAGGGGCCCCACTCGCCCCACAGGTGCGGTGCGGCCGCGGGGGCCTCGCGGGGCAGCGCGCGCACGGGCGGGGGATCGGCCGCGGTCAGCGTCAGGTTCAACTGGAAACATTGGCAGAACAAACTATATGCATTTGCGTCACCATCGTGATCTTATTACGCGTTTTTTTTCAGTGCTGTGATTTTCTGGCAGCTAGTCCTTGAGAGAAGTGCTGGGAAGCTTGTTCGGTCGGGCTCGGCTGGGCTCATCATTTCGGACGCCTCTCCGCTACGACCCACTGGGGGGCCATGTGCCTGGTCCGGAGTACCGTCGCAGCCGCAGGTGGTTGAGCCACGCGCCTCCAGCTCCGGGAGGGGCGGGGGCGGGACGGGGCCGGAGCCACTGCGACTGTCGGGACCAGCTAGGATGGCCTTGAATCTCCCCCCTTGTAAGGTCTAAAGCAGTGAGGAGAGGCGGGGCAGGGGCGGGCGGCGCGGGGCGTCGAAGCTAGTCGAAGCGCGCCGCTGACACCTCCCCGGGACATCCACTTCCGCGGAAGGCAAGTTTGGACGCGGTGCGTCGCGCCGAGGCGCCGTGGCACGCCCGGAATCCACCCCCTCCCGCTCCGCGGCACGTGCAGGGCGCGGGCGGGAGGCGCCACCTTGACTTTGACTCTCCGCGGCGCACACTGGCCCAGGGTAAAGGGGGGGGGGAGGTGGAGAGAGATGGCAGGAGATGGCCCGTGCACGCGCACGGTGTAAAGCGGGCCGAGCGGGCCGGCGTCTCCCCCACTCATTCCCCGAACGACGACAGATTTGGAAACGGGTGATTTTATCCTAGTTCGGTACAGAGAAGATTAGCATGGGCGCAGTTTCTTTTAAGAGGTGGCTGGAAAATCCCGCCGGAATTTGTAGTAACCCTGCACTACTGCATATGGGAGCTTGGCGCCTGCGAGACTCGGTGTAGGCCACCCCGCAGTACACGCATGCGCTGTAGGCAAAAATTTGCCTACCTATCAGGCACTAAGGGAGCTTGCACAGTGACGGCGAATGACGGGCGTCGACGGGCGTACCTTTTGGACGATCCCTATCATGTACCTGGTCAGGAGGTACGATGCGCGCTCTGCCCCTGCGGTAGTGCCTGGCGGGGTGCCCGTCGGGCAGGACCTTCAGGTTACTGGTGGGGTGACCATTGGCGATGACGTCCAGGTGCCTGCTGGAGTGTTCCTCGGGAAGGACGTCGAGGTGGTCGTCGTCCTGCCTGGTGGGATGCTGTGGCGGCGACGTTGTGGTCACGGAGGCAGTCGTGTTGAGGTGCGCGCCAAGAGCGCGCTGCAGGTCGCGGTGCGTGAACCTCACCAGCACGTCCAGGCCGTACTCGCCCTGGGACCCGGGGTCTGTCCCTACAACCCGAGCCCAAAGAATGTCAGCAATTTGAGGATGGACTACTTATTGCGGATATTGCAACCGCCCGGAAATAAAAATTTAAATTGGACTTTATTTTATAAAGTTGTCACGTATGAGGAAAGGGCACACCCACATATCACTATCCTCTTTCTAGGAACACAAATAAGTTACACATTGGAAAACAAAATTACGACGTTTCTCTCTTCTTTCCTAAACGTTTTCAGCACACTTGGAACTTCGTTCAAACCTGAGGCAACGGTGTGACTGCTTAGGGTGGGCTTGGCCGCGCCCAGCAGCGAGGTCGTCGACAGCCCCGGGACGACGCCCAGGATGAGCACGGCGATCACCAGGGCCATGTATCGGCAGCGCGGCGGCGTGCGGCTCGGTCCCGTCCCTCACACTGACTGCACGCAGATGGCCAGCATGGGCTCCGGCCGGAGGGGCCGGGCAGGGCGGGGCGGCGGGACCAGGGCGCCCAGGGTGTCATTAGATCTGCTAAAGGTGCGGGGAGGGGAGGTATCCAGAGTAGGGAAGTGTCGGGGAGGAGGGGGGAGGGGCGGTGCGGCAGGTGAAGGTGGGGCCAGCGGGCAGCGGGATTAAAGGCCCCCCCTGGGTGAGGTTAGGGTGCCCGGGGCCCTTTGACGCCTTTGTCGATAGCTTGTTGGGGGTCAGTTTAGAGAAGTGGCGCCCGAGGGTATCGGGATCTTGTGATCTTCGGCCGAGACGAGTCTTCAAAGATGTTTGATGTTTCAACCATTGATTGGAGTCAATGATTCTTCAAACGTAAGAGTGAGAGTAAAGAGTACCGGTTGCCGTCGAAAAAGAAAAAGAAAGATATGCAGTCTGAAAAATCATGTACATATTTATTTATTCTTACTCTAAAATACACAAATGGCTCACTTACAAATTAAAAGACTTTGCTTTATTGCCCTCAAATGAATGAACGCAAAAAACATGGATACAGGATATGGTTTGTTTCGTATAACTTTGGCAAACTAAGCAAAAACATCGATCACTAATCGCGACGCTTAGTTGGGGAGGATCTGAACCTCCTCCACCAGGGCGTTGAAGGTGACGGAGCGCTTCCTCGTCGCCTCGCTGTCGCCCGCGTCGCCCGGGCTGAGGGTCGGCGACGGCCCTCTCGACACGGACGACGCTCCGCTCGCGTCGCCATCGTCCGAGCCGCCCTCGTCGTCGCCCGACCGCAGCGACACGGAGCGGCGGCGCGCCCGCGTCACCTGGCCGGGGAGTCCCAGATAGTACGGCTCCCAGGGCGTGCCCTGCTTGGGGGAGAGAAACGTGAGCGTGGTGAGCATAAGACTCCAGGCGCCGTGGTCATCCTGGCCCACCTGCGCTGCGGCGGCGACCCTCACCTCAGGGACGCCGTTGGGGTTGGTGCACGGCTCCGGAGAGACGGGCGGCACCGTGGTGATCACCGGGTGGCCGTTCCCGTTGACGGCCACGTTATCCGGACGCGTGACGTCCACCTTGAGCGACGACGTTTTCAGACACGACACCTTTCTGCAGGGGATCTCCTTCACCTCGTGGACCGTTTGCAGGTGGTGGACACTGAAACCTCAATATTTCGTTAAAATCGTCTACCGTGTGGGGCTTTTACGCCGCGAGTGAAGGTCTTTGCTGCAGGTTGTCGAATGGACGGCTCGCGATTGAGGGTGGGTCGTGTATCTAGCGCGCGACCCGACCCTCTCGGCCAAATGGATGAAATTGGTTCGGCCATGTTTGGCGCATTGACACTCCACTCGCCGCGCAGCTCACGCACTCCAATTGCTCAATGCGGTACTCACACTCGCCCCGCCGCGGTCCCAGGCTCCTCGGTCGGGTCTCGTAGCCTCCTCCTCCTGCAACACGACACAACATCTGCATTGCAAACAGCCGGGCCCGGGCCGGGCACACCGAGCGGGTGCTCGCCCGCCCTGCCCCGCCTCGCCTCGCCCCGCCTCGCCCCGCCTCGCCCCGCCTCGCCCCGCCTCGCCCCGCCCTCCCGTGCCCTGCGCGTGCGGACCCACGCAGGATGAGGCGGGGCGGGACGCGGGCGTCTACACTTCTACACTACTACACCCAAAGTCAGCCAAAAACAAGTCGCGGTCAGCTCGACACAACTAATAATAAACACCCTTGGCGGAGGCGTTTCGGAAAGTCGGACGCGGACCCGAAAAAGGCGAGCGGAAGCGATTGTCACGTTCAGTCGCCTTCACCTTGGCCGCCGTGGAGGCCGGGGCCCGCTGCTGCTGCCGCCGGCCTGGACGCACCACCACGCTGGCGCTCTTGTTGTCGTGCCTCAGACTGTCTCCTCTTCAGCCAGCTCTATTCAGGTACGCAGTGCTGACGAGTTCACAGCCTTGGTATTTAACGCACACGCCCAAATACGTATCGCCGCCGACTAAAGTAGTCGGTGTTGTTTTTTTCTGTATGATTTTTTTTCTGTTTGCGACGCCATAGAAAGGCGTGTTTATCTTGGGCGTCGGGGGCGTCGGGATTACCGGCCGGCGGCGCAAAGAGGCAGGTCAGATAACTTACACCCCGCGACTTACCGGGCCGCGGCGGCCGGCGGCAGCAGCTAGACAAACAGTTTTACTACCCCCCCCCCCCCAAACCCAATGAGAGGGTTTAAGGTGTAGGAGAGGGCGCGGGACATTCCGGCTTTACTTCTTTGGCAGCGGCTCACGTTTAACGTCAACAAGGTTTTAAACGGAAAGCGGGACAGAAAAAATGGCAAATTGTCGGAAAACCATGAATTTACTCGTATTTTGAAATGACAGAATCCACATGTTGGACGTGGAGCCCCTCCCGCCTCCCCTCGTTTATGCATTTTAAATTTTGTCGTGAGCATAGAATGTGGCAAGCGCTAATGACATTGCCGTGGAGCATAATTTGGAACATCGCTGGCAAAATATCAGAATACCAGGTACCTGATTGACCACATCACCACATGCAGGTGTGCGCGTTCGTGCAATTTTATCGTGCACGATGGTTGAGAGATAGTTTCGATCACGTTCTTATTGTTGTCTCTACCAAATTTTATGGCGCTTCATGAACCAACCATAAGATGGTTGCCATTGCTAATGACTTTTCTGGGTGATCATACTACGATGGTGGGTGGGCGCGGTCAATATGCCTCCCGGTATACTTTGAAGCAGTTTAAGCAGTTTAGAGTAATTGTCCCTCGCTCCCATTCAGTTACACATAATGAGGCTACTGGGGCGCTACAAAGTAACGTGGTAGTGAAAGATAATATATATCCGTGCCGAGTGAGGCACCTGTCGAGTACAGCACCACCGGGCGCACGCGCACCAGCCTCGCTGCCTCTTTTTCTGCCCTTTTGTCTCCGGAGACAGAAGACGCCGTGCGAGGCCTGTCGCGAGGCGCCCGTGTGTGTATAGCCGCTGGCGCCACGCGAGTCGCTGGCTACCTTGTTGGCGTCGTCGCCGTGGCGTTTTACCTTCTGCACGATATCCACACGGCGACCAGGGCGGCGACCACCATGATGGCGACGATGGAGCCCACGGCGATCTCGGTGTCCAGCCAGTGGCCGCCGTTGATGGCGTCGTCGTCCATGGAGTCCGCCGCGTCCCCCACATGCTGGGCGTCATCGTGGTGCGACTCGAGGGCGGCCCCGGACTCCTCGCCTGCGCGCAACCTCTGCGGTCAAAACCCAAACCGTTCAAACGTAAAGAAAGGCCTGGACGGGCCTCTCGTTATATAGGATCTAGTAAAGTGTTTGCGCGTCTTCGAGAATAAAGCGCTTCGAGAAAAATACAAGCACGAGATTAATTGCCTCGAAAAGAAAACATGTCGCACCGGCCGCAATCTCAATGGTTTGGATGGGCCGATGTGGGTGCCTCCCAGATAAGAGGAGGGAGGGGAAGGAGGGGGGGAGGGAACACCTGAAAGTTGGTTCATTACTGATGGAAAAACGTTACTGCACGTACTGTACAACGGGAGGACCGCGCATCGCTGGCGCGCGGGGCAGGAAGGAGCGGGGAGGAGGGGGAGGGAGGGAGTACGAGGGTTCGGGTCCAAATATTACGCACGCCTCGAAACTGAAAGACGTTCCAATCGAACTAGTCACTGTAATGTGATCTGAAAACTTGCAATTTAGATGACAGGTACGGCACTTGGCATAAGATCAAAGTCCTTTAACAATCAGCGAAACGTAAACAACACACAGTACGTAAACGAACCAACAAAATGGGAAATGGGATTCAGACTCCCCTACAACTTCCTCGGCCCAATAATTCGACGGGGCCGGCTATGCTCTTTAAGGTGAACCCTAATCAGGTGCAACCCTAACTAAGGTAGGGCCCAGCCCCCTCGGCCCACCCCACCCCCGCGCCCTCACCTGTTGCTAGCCGCTGCAGCGCTACGTGGTCCGGCATCCCGGTGCGGTTCATGTCGACTGGCGCCCCTGACGCCCCTCGGCGCGCTGCTGCTGGTGGTGCTGATGCTGCCGCTGCCGCTGCTGGTCTGCGCTACGGTCCACCCGTCTCATGTCAGCGCCGTGCCATGCACTGATGAGCCGCGGGCGCTAATGCTGTCACCGGCCGCTCACGCCGCCCATGGCAGGTGAGGTAGGCGGGTCCGTCCCGCCCGTCCCCGGCGCCTTTTGGCCGCCTCGGCCGCCAGGGGGCGCCGCCGCCGTGCCGTGCCTGATGGGTCCGCGCTGGGCGTCGTCGGCGACGTCGTAGCAGATAAGGCGCCGTGCGCCGCGCGGGGTAAAACGCTCTGTGCAGCGCCAGGTTAGGGATTTTAAAAGTGCGATTTTTTTTCGAAAAACTTGGAAACTTTTCCAGAAAAAACGGGGAAAAAATGAAAATATTTCCTTAATTTTGACAAATTTTACAACATTTTTTTTCGTAAAATTTAAATTTGTACGCTAGGTGTGCGTGCTTGTGCTGTGCCAGAAGACGGCGCCGAGCCCTAGCAGGGGGCCAGTGCTGGGTGGTTGCGTCCGCTCGGGGGCGGCGCGGCCCTACAGTGGTCCTTACAGTCTTGCAATAGCTAGCCGCCTCCAGGGTAGAGTACTGATCAATCCCATATCCAGGTGCACGACAACCTCGTCACGAGGCGGGGCAGCAGCGCTGGGACCAGACATGTGAAGCAAACATCCCCATTATTTCGATTTGTCTGGGCCCCGCCGCCCCGCCGTCCCGCGACGATCTCCTCCGAGGTCCCATATCCCACCCCCACCCGCGCCCCGGCGGCCCCGGCCACATCGTTTATGTTCTCTTCCTCCTCCTCCTTCCGTGTTTGTTTTGAGCGACCCGAATGGCCTGGCCGCCGTAACATTACAAGCGGATCGAATTAGCGACTCGGTGACTTAGTGAAGTGCATGGTCGCCTCGGCTATGGTCGTCGCAAGCGAGGGGAGCTGGTTGTGGGTGATAGGGTGGGGCGAGTGGGAGGGGGAGGGTCTCAGTGAGTTCGTCCACCCCGGCGTCGCGAGGGGAGGAGGAGCCCGGGTCGGTTGGAGGTTCGGAAGGGGGTGCGTCGAGAAGGCGAGTAGCGGAATCGTCCCCGGAGAACATTTTATGACAGAAGAGAGGGAGACAGAGAGACGATGAGTGGCTCTGGTCCGGGACTGCCGCCGTCGTCGCCGTCGCTCAAGGATAGGGGCGCAATAACTCTCTCGGTCGTGAATTATCATTTCGGCGCGAGGAGCGATCAGAGAAAACCGGACTTGGGTGCGCGGCGGCGGCGGCGGCGGCGGCTGGAGATGGATGCGAACAGGCGGAGGGGTTGCACGGAGAGAGTCGATAAAAGTGAAATGTAAGTGAGGGAGATAGAGGTAGGGGTTGGGTGGACGTGGCCTCACCAAGGAGCTAGAGCAAGAGAAAGAGAGTTCTGAAGACGCTGAACCACTGTCTGAGCGAGGCGCGGACCCTAGTCAGGCAAGTGGACAGGGTCGTTTCCAGGGCTCCGCGCCTTCGGTCCGGTCCGGTCACGACCGTTCGCGTGCTTTGCGGCTCGGGCCAGCGCGGCCGGACACACTCGGGGAGGTTAACCTTCTCCGCGGCCTTGAGCCACGACCACGGAGCGGAACACATCGGGGGGGCGGCAACCCCAGCCTCGGGGGACCACAACAGTAGTAACAAGAGCGACGGAGGGGTCCGCTTTATTGAAACAGTCTGGACGGTTCAGTGGGGCACGGAGGGGCAGCACTCTGCTCCCGTCCGGACGCCGCCAGGACGCGGTCAGGACGCGGCCAGGACACCGTCGGGAGGACGCCGTCAGCAGGACGCTATCAGGAGGACGCTATTTGGAGGACGCCGTCAGGTGTTGAAGTTGCTGTTGTCCCCGGGTGGGCCGAGGTTGACCTTCACGTTGCCCAGGGAGAAGATTGCGTCCTCCCCGGGCAGCTTGTCAGAGCCGGGCAAGGGCCGTGGTGCGGGCGCGGGCGCCAGACCAGCCGCGCTCCCGGCCTCGTCGTCAGCCTCCTGAGCCGCGGCCGCCGCGGCCGCTGCGGCGGCAGCCATGGCGGCGGCCTTGACCGGGACACGGGGCGAGAGGCGCACCATGGACGCCCACTGCCCCTCGCAGAGGTCGTCGAACGTCATGCTCTCCAGCAGGCGGCCGCCGAGGTCCCCTGGGCCGCGGCACTTGGGGTTCGAGTCCCAGACGAGGCGACGGTGCGCCCGCAGCCACCTCGAAGGAAACAGAAACAGGTGTTTATTGCAGCATGAGGTTGCAACCAAGTTGCCTGCGATATGGCACTCCACGCGTATTACTCAAGCGGGCATCGGCCACAGAAACTGCTTTTAGAAGCCAGTAATCGCCATTATCTGACATGAAGTGCAAACATCGAGTGATTCAGTTCCGGCGAAACGCTACTACATCAACAAATTTTATCAAAAACCCACAATCGTGTGCCCGAAAATTTAAAGCGGGAAAGAGAACAACAGTCCTTACGTCGCGAGGTAAAGAACAGCGCAATCGCAGTGCCACGGATTCTTGGCCAGTTTCAGCGACTCCAGCTCCTGCAGGTAGTCCAGGGACCCTTCGGGAAGGAACTGGAACTTGTTGCTATCAACTTGCCTGAAAAATTCACATCTGACCTTGAAAAAATTCCTGACTTAACGCAAATACCATTGAATAGGTGCGGTTTAATTTTCTATTTTTTCAAATGTTAATCACTTACAGTTTTTGAAGGCGGGGAACGGCCGCAAAGGTGTCTGACGCGAGCCTTCGCAGGAGGTTGTTGTTCAACAGGAGTGCAGTGAGGTTGGAGGGCCCCCGGAGCGCCTCCGGGCCCAGCGCTTCCAGGTTGTTGTTGTACAGAAACAGCTTGCGCAGTCGCGGCGTCCCGGACAGCAGGCCGCTGGGCAGCTCCCCCAGAGCATTCTGGCCCAGGTGCAACTCCACCAGCGACTGCAGCCAACGGAACTCGTTCCCCTCCAGCTGCGAACCGCCCAAAGAATTCTACAGTCACCAAAACGGGTATCCCCAGTATGGTTTTCGACAGTGTCGAAGGAGTATCCAGCACGATTGTTCGCAGTGTGCCGGAGTCTCCAGGGAGATTCCTTGGCAATTTCAAAATGTCCCTAGCAGATTCGGCCTGAAAAGTGGCGCGATATGGCAGGATTGTGTGCGATGCTGGGGAGTCTCTGGCAGGATTATGTATTTGCTGTGTTGCTATGGAGGCTCCAGTCGAGTCGACTGGAGAAGAGCTGGACAATAAGTCGTCAGGTCGGACACTGGAGCGCGCCGCCGGGGTGGCCGGCGCTGTGGGCTGGGCTAGTTTGACAAACTTGAATCGAAGCAAGAAAGTTGGAACCGCGCGAGGTCCGCGACGACGGCGTTGTGTTTGTGAGAGCGTGCGTGTGGGGGGAAATAGGGGGAGGGGGTGTTCAAAGTAGAGCACACAAACAGCAGCTGTGCATGCATGCCAAGTCCGCGACGCCGCCGGGGCTCGCTCACCGAGGCGATCTTGTTGGCGGACAGCTCGAGCACGGTGAGGTGGATCTGGGTGTCGAACACACCCGGCCGCAGCGTGGACAGCCTGTTCTTCCTCAGGCTGAGGTAGTCCAGCTGGCGCAGGTCGGTGAACAGCCCTGCGGACCCAGAAGAGAGAATGAGTAGTGGGAGACCCCACCGAGATGGGGTAAACATAACTCATGACACACGGTTTCCTCGAAAACAAACCAAGGGGAGGTGGCGGCATCCTCTATCATATAACATTTTCAAGCGGACCACTCCCTCTCCGTTGATAAGGAGAAGCACAAACGGCAGCTCGGTCGCCAATATTGCTTCTGAGAATCATGTCCGGGACCGCTCGCATTCGAGACAACAGACTAATGGCGGCCTCGAGCGCCTGACGGCCTCCGGGTGGGCAGCCCCGCGCTGCAGCGGTGCGCCGCGGGCTGGCCTACCCTACCCCGCCCCGCCGCGACTCACCCTGCGGCAGCACCTTGATGCGGTTGTCGTCCAGGCGGAGGCGTCGCAGCGCGCCCAGCTGCGCGAACAGCTCCGGCGGCAGGCTTTCCAGGCGGTTGCCGGCCAAGTCCAGCTCCTCCAGACGCTCCAGGCCGGCCAGCAGGGCGCCCGGCAGCTGGCTCAGGGCGTTGTGGGAGAGGCGCAGCAGGCCCAGGCGGGGGGAGCCCCTGAACAGACCCACCGGCAAGCGGCGCAGCCCGTTCCACGACATGTCGCTGTAAAGTGTGGAGGGCGGAACAGATTTCTTTTAGAAAAGAACGCGATAGCGGGCGCTAACCTAACCCAACCAAATGGTTCTCTATAGGTGGGTATCGTGTAGTATAGAGACACACTTGGCAATGAGGTACAGGCAGTACAGGCAAGCTGGGTTGCCGACCTAGTCTCCCTGTTTTCCTGGTTGATGCTCACATTGTGCGAACGTTGGCCAGTCGCAGGAAGAGGAGGGCGGACAATTCCTCCAGGCGGTTCTTGTGCAGCTTCCTGCAACAAAGTGTAATGGCCGCCGCTCAGTAGGTTCAGGGCGCGCGGCCCGCCGCGGCCGCTACTCTGGATGATGCGATCACCGCGACGGTATTCCCCGAACCTGCCGCACGGATAAGGGAGGATGTGGGGGGAGGTGAGGAGTGGAGTGGCGGGGGAGGGGGGAGGCTGAGTGCCACGCTCTCCTGCTCTCCCCAGCAGCTTCACAC